ATTTAATATTTATATTTAATATTATCCATGAATGAATAATATGAATAATAATATTTAATATTATCCATGAATGAATATTAAATTATTGAGATCGAGATTTCCGGGTTTGTTTATATCTAAAGGGCATTGCAAATAAATAATTTAAATTGCAATATTATTATTAATATTAATATGTATTTTTTGTTATATTGAAATTTATCAAAAATCAAATATATAAATATATGTATACGAGGTGTGTTCAGAAAATATCGGGAATTTTCGTTTTTTGAAACAAATCTTTATTTATTCGTCTACATTAATGTATCGCCTTTAAAATAGTCCCCATTGGATATTATGCACATGTGCCAGCTCTTCTTCCAATACTCGAAACACTTCTAAAACTCGATCTTTGGGATAGCCGTTAGGGGCCGTCCATAAATGATGTCACACACTTAGGGAGGAGGGGGGGTCGGCGAAAATGTGACAGTTTGTGACAGCCGGGGGGGGTGGTTTGGGAGGTTGTGATGTCACAAAATTATAAAAATATTTTGGAATTAAAATTTTATTTTAAGCAAAAATTTCGTGAGGTAGACCTTACATAAAAATTAAATCAGTGTGAAGTGACGCCAATGGGGAGGGGGGGGTTCCATAATTTGTGACACTTTGTGACAAGGGGGAGGGGGGGTCCAAAATATTAAAAAAACGTGTGACATCATTTATGGACGGCCCCTTAGTTCTTTCAGCGATGCGCTTTTAATGTCATCTATGTTTGCAAAACGATGGCCCTTTAAGGTTCTCTTTATTTTTGGGAATGGGAAAAAGTCAGACAAAGGCATGTCTGGCGAATATGGAGGCTGGGGCATCATTACAGTATTGTTTTTGGCCAAAAATTTTGTTCAAAATTTAACAATTTTAGAACAAATTGCTGCCACGCGTTTTATACCCAAAAAATTCGAAAAAATTTCATGGGATGAGCCAATCGATATACCAACATTATCAGCGACTTCTCTGATGGTTTATAACCATTTCTTTCACTTTTTCCATGTTTTTATCGGTTGTTAATGTGCTTGTGCGTTCGGGGTGTTCGTCATCTTCAACGTCTTCACGCCCATCTTGGAAACTCTTATACCACTTGTAAACTCTTCTTTTACTTATAGCAGACTCATTATAGGCCTTTGTTAACATTTCACAGAATTTATTTCATTTTTTTAAGCAAAATTGGATACAAATTCTTTGATCCATTTCTTTTAATGAATGAAAAATCGCCGAGCTCATAAAACACGTCTAACCTTAGCGGCTGCCCCAGACAAAGTAAACAATGATAACAGCTAAAGTTTTTATCATACTTCGGGAGCATGTATACTAACATAATAAAGAAAATAGTATGACAACCGGACCCTCCGAACCCGCGAAATTTAACAATTCCCGTTATTTTCTGAACACACCTCGTATATTAAATAAATATAGCAAACAAATATTCTTCAAGTAATCAATTTTTTATTTTAATATTTTAGACTGTAAATATAAAAAAATACAAACATTTTTTGGATCATTATTTATTTATTTATTTTTAAAATGTGTTAAGTTATTATTTTTTTATTCTTAACATAACCCATCCTACACCGTGGAATACTGTAAGCCTGTCATTTTCTGGACACCCTGTATAAATAGAAAAAGTAAAACTACTCTTTACCCTTCCCATTTTCGAGACACTTTGTATATAAGGCAAAAGCCCCCTTAACACAAATTAATTTTTAAACCTGTGTAAATGAAATCTGCAAATAAAATTTTAATGTTTAAACAACTTAAATCTATTTTAGGAACATATTTACTTAAAAAATTTCAAACATTTTCTAATGGTTTATTTAAAGATGTTACGTACCAATACTAATAATTACTTAAGTTAAACAAGTAGCCAATAATTATTGTACATGTCAGATTGAAATAATGTTAAAAATAGGAGGGAGTATACTCCCACCTTTAAAACGTAAAACAAGTTGTGGCGTTATGGGCTAAAGTTGGCAACAGGTTTTTAGTCACTGGCTGTTAGTTAGTTTTAAGTTAATTGTCAATTGTCAAATGTCTTACAATCGCTAAAATAAAGTGCCCTTCTTGGAAAATAATATTAAATGTAAAAATAATTTTATCTCAATAAAAAAATTAAGTAGTTTCTCAACGTACTGACCTTTTAATTTTGCCGGCAGTAAACTTTTTAAATTTTGCGTGGAGCACCCATAAAACCTTTTCTTCACTTGTGAAACTGCTTTTATTTTGGATTTAAACAGTGGTTAGTCAATTTTCAAGGGATATATTTTGATTTACGGCGTGTCGATAATACAGATTCCCAAGAATGGTTACTTTATTGTTTTGTTACAAAACAATAGAGTAGATGTCGCTCTTTACAAATATTTAGTTTAAAACATTTTTAGATAAAAATAAATATTTGTCGAAAAAAGTATATTTTTATGGTTTGATTGAAAAATATATAAACTCGTTTAAATAGTTTAAAAGAACCCTTTTGCAAGTAAAAATATCTATTTCGCACCAGGGGCTGATCCACGGAAAGCTGACATGTGGATATGTCCACCCCAAAATGTTTGCCCGTATTTTTTATTGGTTCAAAATTTAAAACAGTTTATTCTTCTATAAGTGAAAAAAAGTAGTTTTCTGTTGACTTTAAATATCAAATTTTCATTTTCTCAATGAAAAAGCATTAAATAATAAAATAAAAATCTGAATAGACCATTATAGTAACCCCTTATCTGTCATCTGTCAGATATACTTTCTAAGTAATAAAACTTAAAAATTGCATAAAAAACGATTTTCTTTTATGCTTTTTTTCATTAAGGATACAAAAAACACGATTTTCATATTAAAATCTCTTAATAAAATTTATAATTAGTTCTAAGGAATTTCCAAAAAACTAAAAATAAATATTCTTCGGACATGAGTTTTTTTTATTTTGTCCCCCCAAAATCTTTATTTAGATCCGCCCCTGTTGGCAACTAATTTGATATTAATTAAAATTAATTACGTACGTGTTCCTATTTTTATGCATACATGTATGTATGTAAATATGTATATAGAAGAAACATTGTAACATAAGTATTGAAATTAATTAACATAAGGCTTATTAAAATTAATATTTCCCTCTAAATGTATTAATTACTAGCTTTTTATACATTTCTTACAAATCTGTTCTATTGTTACATTTTTTATAATTTTAAATGAAAATTTGGATTTGTAAAATTTATATACAGTGTCTCAAAATAAACTATTTGATTTTTAACATAACGATTCTTAAATTATCTTTTTTATTGACTTGTTTCCATAGCAACCGCTAAAAGATGGATTTTTTCGTATTATTATACAAACAGTGATATCACACACAAAAATTGCAAAATTACTTAAAAATTACTAGAAAAAATACTATTTAGGGTTCCATAAAATGGCGGAGGTTCAGTATAAAAGCAAATAGTAGTTTTTGAGTATTTCGGTTTAGAAAACTTGAAAACGATGTGTATAAGCGAAAATATTACATATCCAAAAACATCATCTTTTTGGTATGAATTTAATAATTATAATTAAAAAAAAGTTTGTAAGCGTACAAACCCCACCCCCAGCAAATAATCTGTAAAAGTTACACCCCAAGTGATAAAATGAAATATAACACCACGGCAAATGTTATATTAAATTACTACAAATAAATAAAATAAATACTTACGGTATTAAATCTCATTAATTTAGTAACCCAAGGTACTTTTGAGGTGTTGTATTCATGGGGATAGTATTAAAAGGGAAATTATAAATACAGTAAATAAAAGACAATAAATTACGTTTGAACTCAGGTCAAACACACGGAAGGCTCCCGTTTATTTTTATATAAATATCGCTCATAAAATCTTCCAAAATGAGGGATTATAAAAGTATAAAACACTAAAATTTATAACAAACAATATTGATATTTATTTTAATAAAGCAACAACAATAACCGCAACCCAAACCACATTTAACTTATTTTCTGAAAGAGAACTCCTTACTGCGACCACAATATAATATAAATAAATATATAAATACCATTAGATAAATAATACACCATACTATAGCTCAGCTGTCGTATGTGTTCTTCGTTTTAATTTTTAGTTTTTTCTTTGTGTTTTTGTTTATTTGTTGGATAGAAGTAGATTGAGTCTTAATCTATATTTTTGTATTTTAAATTTAACTTTATCAAGTATTCCATCTGCATTAGGCCTCCATCATCCAAATAAAGTTTTTATAATTATTTAATGTTGAATTTAAGTTTTTTTACATAATTTTTCATGTAATATTTATTAGAGTTAGAAAAAGGAGTAAATAAATGATCAAGCTCGAGATCGCTTCAACTGAGGGTTCGCAATTGTCTACTATGCCTCATTTGTCGGCAAACTTTAATAAATTAATAATTACCATAAAATACTAGGTAATCAAAATGTAACAAATAACAAAAACAATGCGTCGCGCAGTCAGGAGACATCAGATCGTCCGGCACCTAATAAAATTTACAGGATATTAATTCAAAATGGGCTTTTTATATCAGGACTCCACGGACAGTGGTGATACATTAAATGTCGCTATCGCACAATTACTGTTGCCACTCACTCCAAACGTAATACGTAATATGACTGGAAAAATCACTTAACTAATTATGGGACATAAATGTGAATCTGCGAGAACAATTTAATAAATACCGTATTCAAGAAAATCTTTATTAATTACACTTAATTTACACAGCGTTTATGGTAAATCCCCTTTAAGAAATATTTATTAAAATAATTAAATAACTCAAATACAATCCTGACATTCAACTAGATAAAATCAAATACAACCCTGCCCTTTTAATTAGATAAAATCCCGTACAACCCTGCCCCTTTAATTAGATCAAACTCCGTACAAGTTTTAAAATTTTTGAAAATATTAAGAGTTTACTTAATTACTTTTTTACAAAATACCCAGTATTTTCTAAGTAGTCTTCCTTATTACAGATCATGATATGGTTCTTCATATTAATAACAGTAACATTAACTGTGGAAAACACCTCATCGATGCATCAAAACATTAACCAACTCTCACAGGAAAAAACACCCGCAACAGAAACCTTCAAAAGCTACAAAAAGGACCAACCGTACTTCGTAGAAGGCCAATTCGAGCTACCAAGCAAAAACGACTTCGCAAAAAATGTCATGCAACAGGTACTGATCCCATTGGTCACCGAACATTCGCCACCCGTGATGCCGCAATTGGAAAAAGTGTTTGTGAAAAACTTGGAGGACATACACTTTGTAGAGCAAAGGAGTTATAGTTGTGATAGTGAGTCGGAAGTTGAAGTGAGGTGTTATGGAAGTTTCCTAGACATACCGGAGAATTTAACTGACGTTTTGGAGAAACTTACTATTGTGGATGCTGGTATCACCACGATTAAGAGGGATTCGTTTCTAAGATATAGAAGTACTCTCAGAGATGTGTAAGTATTATTAAAGTAACACATTTTTATTAACTTACTGATCTAAAAATTATAAAAAAACTTTCTGTAAATAAATTGTTTAAGTTAGCAAAAATTAGAAAATTACGAAAATAAATAATATATTATATGGGTGATTCTACAAAAGTTGGACAACTTGATGTCATCAGTCAATAGAGTAGGTATTTTAATATTTTTTGTAAATATTTTAGTATATTACAAAAGATCCAGGTTTTTTTAACTTGTCCACCAAATTTTAATGTTTTTTTCAAAACCACGTTTGTAGAAAAACATAATAAATATTCAAAACATCAGTACCTTGGCGTGTCACAACTCCTGAATCAAATATTTGAGTGATTTTATTTTAAAATATATTCAATTTATCTTAAATTTTTCAATTTCACTACAAACTATAAAACATTAAATAATGTATTCTTCATATTTTATCATAGATTCGAATAATGGCAATTTTAAAAAAATTGATAATCTTTGTACTCACTTTTACCCGTCAGTTCTGTGTCCAATGTTAAAATTTAAAATTCCTGCGAAATATTGAAGTTTAAACGTCAAGTCCTCGTTTTAACTCAAGTATTGGTAAAAAATTACCTACCGAACCCAGTAAAATACTTAATTCCGAATTATAATCTCAAATTTGTATCCCATTCATCAGTACCGTGTCGTCAGTTCCATGTTTCGGTTATCTTTTTTTCGCAAACTTCAATTAAAATTCTGCTTGCGCAGAACTTGTTTATTTAATGTCTTTATAAACTCAAATAAATTTGGTGTGGGTCCCATATCTAATAATTGAGATATCGGTATACCCAAAATCCACCAGCCGCCACTGATGTGATTTAATGTGATTTGATTTTAAGATATTTAATGTATAATATGCTTAAAGTTGCAATAAATCTTATATTTTCCAATAAACTATGTATTTAATTAGTACCCTGGTATACTCGTCACTTCCCTTGCATTCAAATTTAGAAAACACAGATATTTCAGAAACTGTTTGAAAAAGTGACTGGCCCGGTCTGGAACAGTATATTTATAATACTATCTATGTTCTCATAACAAAATACTGTTTAATTTTCTCCGAAAACAATATAAACAAAAAGAGGTCAAAAGTTGCCCAACTTTTGTAGAATCACCCATATATCTCGAGCAAACACGGTTATATTAAAAAAATATCCCATTACCAAATTAATTTTTGAAGTATATAACATTTTAAAGCATTTTGACGTATAAATAACATAATTGTTTACAAATATTTTTGCTTTGATCTTTTTGCTATAACAAAAAAGTATTTATTTAAGAAAACTCGAGGTAAAATTATTTTTATGTTTTCAACATTTTAATCAAAAGAAAAAATGCCAATTAACCGATTATTTAACCGACTTCGTAGGTAATAATAATAACCTGTAAATTCTTCATTAATTTTCTTTGAACTTTTATTTTTTATTGTTTTTTATAATATTTTAGCTGTAAACCAAGACCGTAAATATTTAAAGTAAATATTTAAAATAAATATTTTACCTTAAAAAATTAATAAAAGTAAAAGAAGGTATACCAAAAATAATAATAATAATAATTATAAACCTTCTACATAAAATGCCATTTTATATACAGAGTGCATCAAGTATCCTAGAAAGATACTTGGGGCACCCTGTATACTATAATGATTTTTACCCTGATTTGATAAAAATCTTAAAATAACGCCATTATGAAGGATTTTTCAGAAAAAGTCTTTGTAGCTTAATCCAAGGACATCCTGTATTTACAAAAAAACTTAGTGTGAACCCTGAATTTACCAGGAGTCAGAATTATATAAAAAAATTAACAATTTTCCTTTAGAGGCAATTATTTTACATAAATTTTTTAAAAATATTTTATCTATTTTGCAAAAATTCTATAAAAAAATAATTTTATACCTTAAATTTAATTTGGTGGAATTTTACTTTAGATAGTTGGTATCACAGTCATTGGTTTGACAGTTAATGTCAGAATCGATTCGCCATGCCGTCCTTAATTTACTTATTTACAATAAACGGCCGTCAATGTTAAAGAAGAAAAAAAGGATTTTCTTTGGTGTTAAACAAAATTTATTGCCAGAAAAGTCTCGAAAGTACTAGAAAAATCATAAAAATATAACCAATATGCAAAATATTATGCTGTTTAAAGTATAGCTACAGGCCCGTTCCTGGAGAGCGTGCAGTGCGTGCATGCACGCAGGCGCAACATTTTGGGGGCGCAAAATCAAAGAGTCAATCAGTACTTTGTAACGATATACTTTCTTGCATATAATACTTAAACATACATAGGATAAAGGTTACCGCCCTTTTTTTGCGCTATAAAGCGCCTTTTGCCTCTTTGATATTGGCGGCTTATTTTTTTTATATTTATGAGGATCAAAATAAAAGGAGACAAATGGTCATAATATTTTTAGTATTTGTTTAATAGTTGCAGTTGACGGTAGCAAAGTTTAACAGTAGTCTACACAGTACATGACTTTGTAACGAGCTTACTCTCTAAAATCGAATTGGTCAAAAATGACTAATTCCATTAGTCTAATTGCTTTAGCGAAAAAAGCAGCGACTAATAATTATCGTCAACTCATATGTAAAATTGTCTGCTGAATCCGAAAATGTCGTCAAAAGTTATAAAAGTAGCACGTTTTTGAGATTTAGTAAATTATTCATATAATATGGAATTGACAATATCTTAAAAACTGCTTTACTTTCATAATTTTACAAAATAACAAGCTGTTAACTGTCCGGGATACAAATTGCTGTGGACTAAAGTTATTAGTGACTGCTTTTTTACTTTTAAAACTAGTCATTTTTGACTAATTCAATTTTAGAGAGTAAGTCACTAAAAACCAGTTGTAGTTATTATATTGTTTAGATTGTTTTTTTTGTTTTCTTTAAAGTTTTTTTATCACTGACTATTTCCCTCGTCTTAATTTCCACCAATCACAAACGCGCAATTTTGAATTACAAATGGTTTCTAGGTAAAAAAACTGTGTGACAGCACCTGTCAGCAGTTTATTCGAGTTTACCCGCGGCAAAACTTGACAGCTGTTGTCACCAAAAATTGCAATTTATATTTTAATTGTTAACTGTTACTCATGAAATAGTCTTGTCAAATACCATTCGGGCATCAAATTTTTCCTGTGAAAAAAATCGAAAAAACACAATGCTAAGTAATATTTTTTAACAAAATGCATTCGTGCAGGTGCAAAAATCCTCCTCTTTGACTCGGATTTTTGTTGCCAACAGCACTCATGCTTTTTGTTAAAATATTACTTAGCAACGTGTTTTTTCGATTCTTTTCGGAAAAATTAAATGCCCTTATGATATTACTTACGATTATTTCCCTCATTATAATATGCACAATCAAAAGCCTTGAATTTTCGAATAAAATTCGTTTAAATAAGCGATTAAATCACTAGAACTATTTAACAGCGATTAAATTTTAGCCTCCATATTGGATTTTTGTTTACGATTTTATGGTGTTATTTAAAAGTGTTAACAAACATTTTTTAAAAAACAATAAAAAATAAGTTATCTAGTTTACGAAATATCAATTATTACTTATTACATACCTTAAATTAATGGAATTTTTTTTTTAAATATTTATAAATTTTGACACATACGTCAGATTTTATGAATTGTTAAATAGTTTCCTTTAATTCGAGAAATAATCTAGACGTATATCACTCAACCTATAAATTTAATCTGTCAAACTATGCTTAGTAAGTTTTTTATTTGATTTTTCTTTTTGGAAAATAGTTTCATGCAACGCGGTCTCGTGATTTTATTAAATTATTTTGCATTCAACATTTTCCAAGAAAAACCAAACAAAAAACTACTGAGCCTAGTTTAACCGATTAAATTCATAGTTCTCGTGATAATATGTGGTATCCGGAAAATTTATCGCCAGCAAATTACCGTTAGCAATTTACCGCCAGGTATTTACCGCCAACAGTTTACCGCCTCAACTGTTTATCGCCGCAACAATTTACCGCCAGCTATTTATCGTAGAAACAATTTATCGACAGAAATTCACCGTCAGCAATTTGCCGCCAGGTATTTACCGCCTCAACAGTTTAACGCAGCAAGAGTTTACCGCCAGTTAGTTTGTAAACTAACCAACTAATCCTCTCATTTTTGCCCATTTTAGTTGGTTTTTTTGCTCAATGGGGCGGGGGGAGCCCAATGGGGCGGGGTCGGTTGGGTTGTGTTGTTGAGTTTGGGTTGGTTTGGGTTTTTTCTCTCATTTTTGACCATTTGACCAATGGGGCAGGGGGGGCCAATGGGGCGGGGTCGATAGGGTTGTGATGTTGAGTTTTCTAAGAAGGAAGCATTAAAATTTTGCCTATGATTCATTTTAAAAACGTTAAAATGCACAAAACAAATCCGGTTAGCTGGCGGTAAACTGTTGCTGCGTTAAACTGCTGAGGCGGTAAATACCTGGCGGCAAATTGCTAACGGTGAATTTCTGTCGATAAATTGTTTCTACGATAAATAGCTGGCGGTAAACTGTTGCGGCGATAAATTGGTGCGGCTATAAGTTGCTGGCGGTAAATTGCTGGCGGTAAATTGCAGTCGGTAAATTGTTGACGATACATTTTCCTAGACCCATAATATATGAATATTTTTTGTGATTTTGTTTGTTTGGTAATTTAATAAATATTTTTTATACTTAATTTTTTAAATTTTCAATTACATATTAATTACATATTGCCAGTTTGTCGCAAAATATATATTTTTTAAATTTAAGGGCTTAAAACTAAAATATTTAATTTATTATATTTAAATATAAAAGGGGCGCACCAACGAATGCTGCACGTAGGCGCCAGACACCCCAGGAACGAGCCTGTATAGCTAACCTATAAAATCAAAATTTTGGGTGGGATAAAGTATCTTATTACAGCACCAAAAGCGGTGTTATGATGAAGTCATTATGAACGCAAAATAGATAAAAATATTTACTTACAATTTAAAGGCAATTAATCCAAATTTGACGATGCTAAAACAAAATAACTTTTACAAAGACAAAGTACAAAGTTTAATAAATATATATAATATACAGGGTGTTATGTAATTAATGTTAAATATTAAAATACTGAATACCTTTTGACATAAGGAATAAAGGAAAAATATTTAAAAAAACATTTTTCCAAAGATAAAGAAAAAATATGCATTAGAAGTTTTTTATATTTTTTGTGATACGCCACTGGTTACACACTTCCTTTATCTCTGCACACTTCTCTTCTTCTTCTTCGGTTTGATTGGCCTTTCCCTTCCGGGAATTAGCCAGCTGTATTTTATTCAATATTATACTGGAGCAAGCGATCTAGGATAACCTATAGCTTACTCCTTTTCTTCTTGGTTTTATATTTTATTTATTATTATTTTTGTCACTTTTAGTTTCTTTTTTCACTTCTTTATTCACAAAATTAGATTTATTCACCATCCTTCTAAACACATTACGTTACATTCATGATCCATATATTTAACATTAATATAATACACTTCTAAACTCCATTATTTTTTTCCATTCCAACCATGAACCACATGGCAAATGCACAGACTTTTCTTTAAATATTTCAGTCATCCATCGTGGAAATTGTTCGTACATTAACAAATCTATTGTAGAGTTTGTATTTATGACACTGACCAGCGTATTCTTGTGCTGGGATTCCAATTTCGTCCCTCCAGGGTCACAGGTCATGAACCAAGTGCACTCTTCGAAGAACGAAACCCGAATGATCTCTGCACACACTCGTATTTTGTGAGTACATTGATACCAACCAACAAAGTAGCTATGCGTTGCCAGATGTAAAAAATTGTTACTAAAAATTTTTCTTGCAAAAAATAAATAAAAACTCAATAAATACAAAAGTTTTATGCCCTTAAAGCTCTAATACCCTTCTATATTTATTTACTGATCCAGCTATTAGCTTAAGCAATGATTAGAAAATTTAGTACCTTTGAAATTTGAAATCCATAACCACAAAATTAATTTTTTCATCAGTTTTTTTCTCTGTTTACTCAGATGAAATTGGGACCAGTTCACAGGTTAAACTTTAAACATTTAATTTGTGTAAATAAATCCAAAAGCACTTCCCTTAGTTAAGATATTTACAATTTGAAAACATAACCTAAAATTTAAAAGAAATGCACTAGATTCTGTCATAAAAGTTGGCAGATTTTGTTTGAATTTACCTTCAGTACAAAAATGACATAACCAACAATTAATAAAAATGCCAAATTGACAATTTTGAGAGATTTTGGAAACACTGTTGTTACCAACCATAACATAATAAATCCACCAGATTAACCTAAAGTTTCTAGTCGATCAGTGGCGTACTTTTTGGTAGGATAAACGTTATTATAAATTATTTTTAGACTTTGGAATTTAGAAAAAAAAAGTTTCAGGTGCTTCTTTATGGACCCTAAGGAACAACCCATTTTAATATATAACATTAATTACATAACACCCTGTATATATATATATATATATATATATATATATATATATATATATTAGGAAAACAAAGTATTTTTTTCCTTGCTGACACCATGAAATATTGTTCTGTACACTGAAAAAAAATTCCCTGAAAATTTGAGCCCTCAATTTTAACTTCCTTTTGTATTTTTATATTGTTTTAAATGAAACACCCTATATATATATATATATATATCAAAATAAGTTAATATTTTCCAAACATAAGCCTAAGCCAACAAAACTACCGATAAACTTTTTATTATAACGATGCCATAAAATTTATATTTAGTTATATCGGTAAAGTGGCAATTAAAAGTCGTTAAATCGTGTTATTAGCGCCGTAAATCACGATTGTTTACTTTTGACTTACTTGATTAGTAAATTAAATAGACGACTTAAAATGAATTTTTACTTCACGCCGTAAAACTCAAACTGCTTTATTTCGTTGGCATACAAGTAAAACAAGTAAAATAAAACACTCTAATGGTCTAATTAAAGTTAGCAACCAACTCGGAATTAATTATGCCTGTTTTAGCATGTTATAGTTTCCCAGAGAAACAAAGTTAATTTTGAGGCTGCTATTCATTAAATGCAATTAAATTGTGTTTATATTTTGTTTTTATTTGCAGGTATTTGGTTAGTTTACCTCATCTGTCTTTAATTGAGGAAGGATCGTTTGCACTAATTACAAATTTAAGGACAGTGTACGTATGCTTTAATGTTAATTCTTACTACCATATGGTGTAAAAAATTAAATGGTGGATTTATTAGTGATGCATATTAGGTTTTTTGTCATGAAATTACGAGTTTAGAATTTTCAATTTACAGGGAGTTAAAAAACATTTATAAAAAAAATGTATTTTTTGTTTATAATTATTCCATGATCCATTCTTGGAAAATTGCGGAACAAGTATTGCAAAGGGATTTCCTTTTATGTAACACCCTGTATTATAATATAATAGGTATATAAATAATCCCAATATACAGGGTATTTATAAAGGAAATTGAATTATTTTAAGAATAAATCCGGAAAGCCAAATAGTTTAAGTCCGATTTTTATTAATTTCAAAGATACTTTGATTAATTGTAATTTAAATACTAAAAAATAATGTATTCCAAATCTAACGAAATAAAAAAAAACAAATAGCATTAATTTAAAACAAATTTTTGAAAATATTTCCGCCTACTTCGATACACTTATTTGCGCGTTTATAAATTAAACTAACTTGCATAATCTGTATGACTGAATTTGTAAGGCATTTTGACAATCTCATAAAATTAGCACAACTGTCTGTTTTGTACACTTGCCTGTGTGATTTAAATTGTCATTTGGAACAACATTATGGAACTTAACTTGATTAACTTTTTTTTTGTTTACTTAGTTTTTAAATTACAATTAATCAAAGTATCTCTGAAACAAATAAAATACAAAAATTAAAAATATGAGACTATTTTGCTTATTTTTACTTTATATACGTGGTCTTAAAATATTTCCATTTTCTTCTAAATTACTTGAGATATTAATTCTATATTGTGTGAATATATATTCACACAATACAGGGTGCACTAAGTATTGTGGTAACCCAAAAAAAAAGAATATTTTTTTCTCTCGTCTCTTGTGAAAATATGTTGGTTTATCATGTTTTAAGAGCCCTGTCAAAAGATCAGCTCCATTACAATTTTTTTAGGGGTCGCTCAAGATTTTTAAAAATTTCCAAAATCGTTAAAAAAATTTTCTCGTTCCGATATTATTTTTTAATTTAAAAATAATAATGATTCTGAAAATTTTAAATCGATTTTTTGATTTCTAAAGGTCGCTCAAGATTTTTTTAACTTACAAAGTAGAGTATTTTGAATGTTTTCGAGCGACCTCTGAATATAAATATCAACGAACTTTTAGCGACCTTTAGAAATCAAAATATTGATTTAAAATTTACAGAATATTTATTATTTTCAACCAAAAAAATAATATCGAGATGAGAAAAAAAATTAAAATAAAACAAAAATTTAATTTTTGATGATTTTTTAATCGAGCTGATATTTTGTCAGGGCTCTAATAGCATAATAAACTAACATATTTTTACAAGAGACGAGAAAAAAAATTATTTTTTTGGCCACCCTAATGAGTATAATACCTGGGTCAGAATTTCTCAAACGGGCCACCTGAATTAGGTCAAAATTAGTTTTTGTTTGTAGATACATTTTTTTGATAGTATTTTACATCACTAACACAAATCCTAAAGGATTTTGTAAAAAAAAAAATTTCAATTGACATATTCATGATATTAAAAGTCAAAGTTTTTAATAATTAAAAAATAAAAAAATTCATTATGGCTGAACTAATTATCCGATTCCAACGATATAACTAGCGTTGGAATCTTGTTTTGACATAGATTCTTTGTTATTTTTTTCAATTGTCCTATTTTCATTTAGGTCGATTTTTTTTTGTTTTTTTTTATACCAAATTCGGAAATAATTGCCTTCTGCGCCAGCTATCGACTCGAGAAAAAAAACACATATACTCCAATCATTTCTCGAAATTATGCTGCTGAGAAAAAAAATGGCCCGCAGGTTGACAAAAAGTTATTCGTCCTTTTGTGGCCGCGCGCGGTGTCAGCTCACGCTCCGAACCGTGTACGCTGTACGCGCTTGTGACGCGACGTCTTACGGTGGTCTGGAACCTGCGGGCCATTTTTTTTCTCAGCAGCATAATTTCGAAAAATGATTGGAGTATATGTGTTTTTTTTTTTCGAGTCGATAGCTGGCGCAGAAGCCAATTATTTCCGAATTTGTTATAAAAAAAACAAAAAAAAATCGACCTAAATGAAAATTGTACAATTGAAAAAAATAACAAAGAATCTATGTCAAAACAAGATTCCAACGCTAGTTAAATCGTTGGAATCTGATAATTAGTTTAGCCATAATGATTTTTTTTTTATTTTTTAATTACTAAAAACTTTTACTTTTAATATCATGAATATGTCAATTGAAAATTTTTTTTTTACAAAATCCTTTAGGATTTGTGTTAGTGATGTAAAATACTATCGAAAAAATGTATCTACAATCAAAAACTAATTTTGACCAAATTCAGGTGGCCCGTTTGAGAAATTCTGACCCACCTACATATAGGATTTTTTTTATTTGAAGCTTCAAAATTGGTTGTCAGAGAAAAGTTGTGTAAGAAAATAAAATTTAAAAATCGTAAGAAAACCAGCGTTCTCAAAATATTAGAAAAAAACGTAAAAACTGTCAAAACCAAAAAACGTTTTAACTGTTATTCCTGAGATTTAAAAGCCAGTTAAAAGTTTAACAAGTTTACATACAAACTTATCTACATTTTAATCCAATTTCTTCGCTACTATATTTTGGGTTACCAACACCATCTTTTGTTTTTATAATGGCCGTCAAAACTTATGTAGTTCCTTGGATTCTCTGTTTTTTCTATCTAACAATGTAAAATTCAAATATCAAAATCTAGTACACGGTGGTCAAAACTAAAGTATAGGACGAACAAAAATGCCAACCAAAACTGATAGCATAATCTGATTATAGACTCTTTTGGTAAAACAAAAATGTATTTATCAAAATCCCAGCTGATCCTTTATTAAAGTTTTGCATATTTCTTAGTATTTTAAAATTGTTTATGCCATTTCGATAAAATACTCGAGTACTATTATCAAATGTTTTTAAAAATTTGGCAGATACATGACCGAAATATGGATAAATTACATTATAAATACAAAATAATGTAAAATACACACTGAAAGAAATTTGTTGCTAAAAGTAAATACAAATTTATACTAAAAATTTTATACTAGTGCTTTACACATTTATACTACTGTTTATTATGAATGTATGGTAAATTTTGTAACACATTTATTGTAAAGAAGATATGTTAGATCTAAATAAAAATAAACTTACCCTTACTATAAAATGTAAACTATAAGTGAATTACAGCAAAAAAATATTGCTAGAAACACCATTTATATTGCTAGGGCAGCAATAGGCTGCTAACCAAACGAATATATTTGTTTTAGCAATGTATGTGGTAGTCTATATATGAAACATAAAATATATTTGCCCTAATTATTTTTTTATTTAACTTTAGTATATATTTCTTTCAGTGCAGTTTGCAATATCTTATTTATTGTTTTAAGGTACCTAATACAAAACTAATAAATAACTAAAGATTTTTTGAAGCAAAATCGATTACTGCTTGCCTTAAATTTTCAGTAAAACTTTTTCTTGGGTTTTACATGAAATTGTTTTTAACATGGAAATAGTATTTTTAAATTCATCCCCTAGAAAGGAAGAGAATATCAAAACTTTAGTTCGTTCGTCCGTCCTCTTCCCTTAATAATTTTTTATGCCCTTTATATCTTGCCATTTTGCAGATAAAGAACATACATTCTTGGCTGCCGCGAAATTCTCTAGCAATTTCTAAATTTTAAAAATTTGGCAATTGTGGCTATGCAAAAATACCGTTTTTACCATATTGAAGTAGGTAATTATGAATCACTTAAGTTAAAGTGTTCGTTTGAAAAAGTCTGCAGTAATTTTTATATCTTCTCAGAAACACTAAACTCTGAATTTTTCGATTACCAAAAACAATTTTGTCTCTACAGCCAGCGCATACCTTCTTTCGATTTTCTTCATGGCTTAACTTGAATTTCGGTTTAATTTTCATTTTAAAATACTATTTTTAACTTTATAAAGTATACATTAAATAAACAACTAAAGCAAAATGTCACTTGCGTTATAACGTAAAGCATTTTTTTCATAACCACCTTAATTATTGTTTTACAAAAGTTGTAATTATTTCATAGACAAACTTCCAGTATTTTTTGTTATAAAAAATATTTAAGATATAAATCTTCGTTTTTTTTGTTATGTTTTGTTTTGAGAAGTAAAAAATAATAGGTGACTCAATAAATTAATACTGGGGAGTAAAGTAATTTAAATGATACAAAGTTTATTATTTTGCTTAATTTTATTAAAATTGTACAGGTAGTTTTAGTGCAATAATTGCAAAATAATAAATAGAAATAGAAAAACAACATATTTAAAATGCTATCAGTTTTGGTTGGCATTTTTGTTCGTCCTATATAGGACGTATATATAGGAAGTATATACTTAAGTTTTGACCACAGTGAGTAGGCGAAAAAAATCACAAATTGGATTTGACGATTTTCTACAGTTTATCACTTTTTTATCCAAAAAATTTAAAAACTGAATTTTTTAAATGCGATTTTAATAGACATGCAATTTTCAACTTTTTTTTTTAATTTAACCTACCTTGTAGATCTTTAAATAAAATAAAAATCCCTTACATAGAAGCATACTTAATACACCCTGTGTATTTGTTTTATCTAGACAATGATACATAGCTATGATAAATTCCAATAGGTGGCGTTGTGATCAAGTTATAAACAAATTAGGTTTTAATTAATTAATCCCGGCGCATTCGCCATTTTTGTAACAAAAAGACGCGAAGCGGCCACCGCTGCAGCGGTGCAGCTGTTACCAGTTACTAATATTTACTAATAATATTATATAATGTAATATATGTAACTTATGTTTGTATGTATTTTTTATTTTAGTTACATTAAAGAAGCCCCCAAACTTCTACACATTAATGGACTATTATATGGAGTTACCTCAAGAAACTTAAAAAATCTGTAAGTGTATTTGCATATCCAATAAGTTAATTTATATTTTAAATTTTTATTATTTGTTTTAATACAAACCCAAAACATTATACAACTTCTGTTTGTATTTCTGATATTTTTTGTGTTAATTGTTTAATACGTTTGTGGTTTTACAATACTGTGCAGGGCCGGATTTAAGCATATGCTACCTAGGCTGCAGCCTATGGAGCCGCATTTCAAAGTGTCTTGCAATCATAATCATAATTTATCATTTGCATTTGATTTAACTAAATATGGTGTTAGACCAGCCCAAAAAGAATATTTCCCACTGTCTGCAAGTCGCGAAAGTGACAGAAAACATAGAACTGTTAGTTTAGACACAAATAGTTGAAATTGATAGTGATTAAATAGGTTTTTCTACTCCCACCTTTAAAACGCCCTTTATCGTACATGTTTCCATGACACTAAGTGACCTTTTAAATACACATTGACAAGTTGTGGCTTTACGGCGCTTTAGTCACGGGCTGAAGTTAGCAACAGGTTTTTAGTCACGGGCTGAAGTTAGTTTTAAGTTAGTTGACAGTTGTCAAATGTCATACAATCGTTAAAATAAAGTGCCTTTCTTGTAAAATAATACTAAATGTGAAAATTATTTTATTATCTCAATACAAAAATAGAAAAATATTAAATAGTTTCTTAACGCCAATATTTGAAAAGTTTATATGAACATTGTACTGACCTTTTAATTTCGCCGGCAATAAACTATAACTTAAATTCGGGCAAAGTCATAAAACATTTCCTTTACTTTCACTGTGAAAAACTGTCAATTTTTAATATACTTTTCGATTTATAACCTTTATAATTGTGTTTATAAAATGTAAAAATGTGACATTTGACAGTTTCCCCTGTTGTTTCATAGGTGGCGCTCTATATAAATTTTTGATTTAAATCATTTTAAGATAATAATAAGTTTTTGTCGTAGAAAAAGTATAGTATGCACCTCGTTTATAAACTTTTCTATACACTCATTAACTTAAGCACTCGCTCGCAAGCTCGCTCGTGCCTAAATTAAATTCGTGTATAAAATGGCGTTTATCAAACTTGATACATAATATACAATTAAGTTGGTAGCTTTTTCAATCCACAATAATAGTAGCTTATTTGGTAAAATAGACTTAAATCTCAACTTTGTATTTTTTTCATAATATGGTTTTGTATAGCAAATCATATTAAATACCATTCTGCCATATACCTTTCATTTCCTTTATGATGTTCAGTTCTTTTAATAATAATTATTATAATTGAAGGGGTTAGAATAAAAAGGGTATAAGTAACATTTTCATTTTTTGGAGATATTTGAAGTTAAAGTTATGTTACCATAAAAAAGTGAAGAATTTTGTTTAGTATTGTTTTTCTACTGGATAATAGAGGTCCCTAGAAGTATGAAAATTACTTAAATCCTTTTCATTTCGATACGTCGGAACCTTATCTTTCACAAAACGAACTTATCTCCTAAATTAAAGAAATTGCACTTATACCCTTTCTATTCTAACCCCTTCAATCAGCGTTGCCAGATGGTCAAAATGAAATTACCGTACCTGCTTGGTAAAAATTACCATTTTTAAGAAAAAATTACCGTACATGAAAAATTAACATAAAATATTTAATTTATAAAAGCAACAAAACAATTTCAACAAAGTTAAAAAATATTTTTTATTGAAAACTCAAAATAAATACAAATTAATTTAAATAAAAAACATTCACAAAACAACTCAAATAATAAAATAATAATTATAATAATACAAGTATACTTTAAAAATTTTAATACCTATATATAGGTATTAATAATTAATAATTGCTAGGTGTAAAAAAGGCTTACCTGTTTTCGGTGGGTTCCTGTTATTTTTTTGCAGATTCATCATCGCTACTCGAATCAGACATATGAGTCAATCCAAATGAAAACACCAAAAATGAATTTAAAAGTGCGCTGCATGATTTTTTATTTTGATGAAAAAATTTGAGGATGATCTTTTAGGTGTCAAATATGAAAATCCGTTGCCGTTTTAATTTTTTGTTGCTTTACTTTTATTTGGCACCCCTTAGAAGTCTGAAATAGTGTCAATTTCTTACTCTCTTATAGTGGGCCAGAACTTTTTTTCTGTAAAAAATATTGAAATAATTTTAATTTTGTTTTACTGTCCAGTATACTGGACACTTATAAGTGTGTTTTCGATATAAATTATTATTATCCAATTAGTTAATCTGATAAAGAATGGTAAACCACTAAAGATTCATGATAATTTGCCAATTTTTGTGATTTTTGTCTGGCTCCTGTGCCTATTCTACTGAATTTAGAAGGTTCATTTTTTTCAAGTATAAAGTACTTATACAATAGAAAACGTAACTATTATTTTAAGTTTCTAGACTATGAATTTCTTTATTAAAAAAATTATTGAAAATTGATAATTCTCAAAATTAGCCAATTTTGCCCTCAGAAATCATTATGTTGAGGAAAAAATAAAAATCTTAAACTTTCAGGAAATGTAGTTCCCACCTTCATCTTTTCAGTCCAGTTAGTCTTGTTTTGTTATTTTTATTCCTTTAAAAGATATATTAATTTTTTTAATGCCCGTTTAGTAGCGATATTGTTAGATTTATTTATAATTTAAAATTTAGATTAATATAGCGCTCCATGGAGCCTCCATGGCACATACTTCCAAGTATGTGGTTTGTTCTGTGGTATGTGTTTAAATGTGTAGAAAAACCATAGACAAGACAATAAACATAAACACAAAAAATAAAAAATATTCTTAATAATATTATGGATAAAAATATGTCAGTTAGCAAATTTACCGTACATTTGTGTACGGTATTGAGGTTTGGACCGTATACCGTATTTTCATTCAAATTACCGTACAAATACGGTAATTACCGTACGAATGGCAACGCTGCCTTCAATTGTTAAAAGTCTTAGAACAAAAAACAACAGGAAGGAGCATTTAATAAATGACCTTGGGTCCAAAGTGGAGCTTCAATATGGCGGATAGTTGTTTCCGTTTGTCAGTGGCGTAGTAAATACAATTGAAGTTTAATTTTTATAATAATTAGGTTAGTATCAGAAAATATGATACGCCTATGGTTTTTTCTATGATGGTGACGTTCTTAGGTTATGGTTATGTTCTAAGGTTACGTTATTTGACATTGATTAATGTTTAATATTTACAACTAATTATTTTAAAATATACAAATAAATTAAACGTTAACCAAAATACTCACCTATGAAATGTAAATAAATATTTTTAAGTTTTGTGCTCAAGGAGCAACCACAAGCTGCACAACTAACCATAATTTGTTTTTACACCTTAAACACTAATATTTATATCTTAAACTTTAAATATTTACACTTAAACGAGAATATATCAAATACAATATTGTCTAGAAACAATGAAACGCTTATTTAAAGTTAATTTAACCAGAAAAACAACATAAAACACCGACAAACACATAAAACATTCAATTTTGACAAATATAGCATCACAAATGTGTCATAATTTGGAGCTTGCAAATGGCCGACTTCCGTCGTAATTTTAGTACGGCTAAAGAATGGCAAGACTTCTTCCTGTTGTTTTTTGTTCTAAGTTAAAAGTAGGTTTTTTAAGGTTAATTTAAAACAACTATTTTTCGGGTAGAGCCCGCGCTGCAAGTGTGGCCTACGATCCTAAATCCGTCCCTGACACTGTGTCTTAGTAAAAAATTAAAAATATTTTTAATTTTCTTTAAACATTTGCAGTTAAATTTTAATTATTAATAAGTGAAATTTTGTAATTTTTCCAAACTGAGTTGAAATAAGTCTTAGTAAAAGTAGATCGTGGTGCGTAAAGAATTCCTCAATTGTTTAGTCAAATTACTATGTAAATTTTTAACAGTGCATTTTAAATAAAAATAATATTTTTGTATTCTCACCTTTAAATCATTATCGAACATGTTTCCATGACAATAAGTGACCTTTTAAATACACATTGACAATTGTTAAAATAAAGTGCGCAAATACTTACAAAATTATATGAACGTTTGTGCTAACGTTTTGATTTCGCCGTAGTAGTGCAACTGGATTTAACTGATAGAGCGTTAAAAATTTGGGTACAGTGCCCACTAAACATTAAGGTAAACATTCAATTTTCTTAGTTTCTTTAAGAAACTTTCCGGTTGGGTTAATTCTAGATTCCTTTAGGCCATATTAGTATCTGTGATACAATTGCTGTGTGCAGTCCCGGTTGCATAGTATGTACCGATTGCGGCAAAGGCCACGTCGTTTGACGGTGTGGATCACCTCATGTTCCTACATCTCGCCTCTGTTGACTTAACAACCGAGCATATAAGCTTAGGGAGTAATTTGTTTTGATTGTGTTCCACTACACCAAGTTGCCCGACACTGATGAGACCCAATAAAGGTCGAAACAGCTGTCTGTCGGTATTTGAAGTTGGTGGAACGCATTCAAAACAAAAAACTTTGGCGAGGTGTAGGTTCAATTTTTTCTTATGAATATTACCAGTGATGGGTCAAGAAAGTTTCTTAAAGAAACTAAGAAAATTGAATGTTTAGGTCAAATTCTAAAAAAATGCACGGTTAACGAGTTATGAGCCAAAAAGCAAAAAAATTCGGGGGCGCGAAAAGAAATTTTTGGGAAATATTATTGATTCATTATTCATAAGAAAAATAAAACCCGACTGCCATCGAGTTTTCCTTCTACAATATTTGTTTCCTGAACTAATTGATACTTTAAAATATTAAAATTACTTCGAATATGATGTTAAGAAAATATTTGATTTTTTTTTATAACTATAATTGCAAAATATTATTACAAAGTATTAAAAATTCTTACAAGGAAAATGTTAAAGGTGGGGAATATTCTTGATTCATTATCAGCACCCCTGACTACAAAAAAAAACCCGACTACCATCGAGTTTTCCTTCTACAATATTTGTTTCCTGGACTTAATAACACAACTCTTGAAATATCACAGCTAAAC